CCTCTTCAACAACATCTACCAGCAGTACGTCCTCGTCAACGTCCACTAGCACGTCATCAAGTAGCAGCAGCACATCATCCACAACAAGCACTTCATCAACTAGCACAACTTCATCGACATCTTCCAGCAGCACCAGCTCTTCGTCCACGAGCACAACATCTTCATCCACTTCGTCAAGTACAACATCATCAACAACAACTTCCTCCACGTCTTCTAGCAGCACCAGCACATCCTCCACCAGCAGCACATCCACCTCCACCACATCCAGCACAAGTTCGACCAGCTCAACTTCGTCAAGCACTTCTTCTTCTTCGACAACAACATCAACCACAAGCAGCAGCAGTACCACATCGACATCATCAACTAAAAGCAGTAGCACGACGACGTCATCAAGCAGCACGTCTACCACAACATCATCAACTACATCCACATCTTCATCATCGACCTCAACATCAACAAGCTCATCATCCACAAGTTCGTCCACGTCTTCAACAAGCAGCAGCTCCACATCATCGTCTTCGACCAGCAGCACAAGCACCTCATCCAGCAGCAGCACAACTACAAGAACGACCAGCACAAGTACAACGTCATCTTCCAGCACAACTTCCACGTCCAGCAGCAGCATATCATCCACATCAAGTACCTCTTCATCTATGTCATCAAGCACGACTTCATCAACATCGACCTCCTCAACATCAACCAGCAGTAGCAGCAGCACTTCCACGTCAACCTCCACAAGCACAACTTCATCCACCTCAACAACCAAGAGCAGCAGTTCCTCCACGTCATCAAGCTCGACAAGCACAAGCAGCAGCACAACAACCTCTACCTCCAGTAGCACATCCACGTCAAGTACGTCCAGTATGTCCAGCTCATCATCAACTTCTAGTTCCACAGTGAGTTCCAGCACGACATCAAGCAGCAGCACTTTGACAACAACGTTATCAACAAGTAGCACTACAACTTCAACAAGAAGCAGTTCAACCTCCGTGTCCTCAACGACATCGATATCCACGACAAGCAGCAAGACATCCACAAGCAGCTCTGTCACTGCGACGTCCACAAGTGCCTCTACATCCTCTACTTGGAGCGCCAGCTCATCCACATCAACGTCTTCCAGCACCTCAACAGGAACCTCAACTCCGACGACGACGTCCAGCACTGGTTGCTGTACAGCAAGAGGAGAAGAGTGAAGCAGGTGAATGTGAAGCAGCAGAGTCGTAGCATCAGTGCAATAATGACTTTGTCGAGGTAGCTCCAGCAGCACCGGGACCATCTCTTCGCCTCCTAGCGGCACAGAGCACTCGGCAGAGTCTCAGAAGTGTTGGAAGTGTTGAAGGGAAGTTTTGCCGCCAAGCTGAGGACTTCCACTTCATTCAGCACCACGGTGTCGCAGATGCAGTGCTGCAGCGTGCTAAGACATAGCAAAATCCTCCTTCACAACCCAGGCGATCACAGTTTTGCCAAACGTGCTGATCAACGTGCCCTGGGAGGACGGTCAGGCGGGTTTTCGTCTATGCTCGTACCTCCTCTCAAGCAAGCAGGCCATTGGTGGGCCTCCAGCCCGAAGCATTAAAGCGGGTGAGGCAGTTTCGGTGCAAAGCGTAGACCTGGGCCCTGCCTTCGCCACGGTCCTGGGCGGTCAAGGCAGGCTTCAGCAGCCGCAGCAGCCCCTTTCGGTTTTTTCTTGCAGTGGCAAGCTGCGCAGCGATTGCTTCTTCTTTTTACGCAGTGAACGTACGACAGCGTGACAGACCAGCTTTGCTAGGCTGCAGCCGGCAGGGAGAATGCGGATGGAAGTGGGCACTTGTTGCAGTCTGGCTCAATTGGAACACTCAATTTGCATTGAAAAATCCATCGTTTGCTGGAGGAAGATTCCAACCCATTCACGATTGTGGCCTTCCTGCAAACTTCTGAATCCCAAGAGGGCAATGACCTTATGCTGAGCACATCCGGCTTCCGTGGGGACGCTCTGGTCCCTGGCCGTACCTACATTTACGGGCTGCTGCAGGCACCCTCGCGAGCACCTCGCTCGGCAGTTGATTTCAGAACCCTGCACGCTGGGACTCTTTCGGCTCAATTGTTTTGGGTCGCTGTAGTCTCCGGCTTCCTAATGCACCCAGTGACGCGGAGCTGTGCAATGGAAAGCCATTAAAGTGTTGCTTTAGTATACTGAGTGTGATTGCCAAGGACATGGCCTTGGAGCTTTTCGCTGACTTGAAGCAGGCCACGGATGAGGGGGTCAAAGTGGCAAAGTCACTTCCGCTGCTGGGCCGCAGCTTCCCTGGAGCACGACCAACTAAACTGAACACAGAGAAGTGCTTGCAAGGTTTTTGGCAGATGCGCCACCCACGGCTGGAAAGGTGGTGCCAAGGCCGCTGTCTGGGTACGCTGTGACGACAGCTTTTTCGGGCGAGACCAGTGGCTGGGTCGATGAAGAAGTCCAAAGCTTGAGCTTTGCCTTCTATCTCTTTCCGATGATGCAGTGGCTCGGAGAAAAAAGAAGCGAGATCTAGTAGTCTAGTAGATCACGAATCCTCCAAGCCTTGCTCTGCTCCTCTGCTCTGCTCCTGCAAGGAATCTTTCCATCCAGGCTGATGGTGCAGGAGGCTGAGGATTGGGTTTGGGAGGAGAAAATGTTCTAGCTTCTGATGCCGATTGTGAGAAACATGCGCTGGGGAGGCTTGGCTTTGGAGGGGAGCTTTCAGCCTCCCGAAGTTGACACAAGGCCGCACCTAGACCTAGCCTTGGGATCTCCTGGGGAACCAATGCCAAGTGAGTTGTCTGCAGGCTTGGGGTCGGAGGCTGCATCGGAGAGCTGGCTAGTTTTCTGCTTAGGCGTAGTCGCAACTCATGGGCCAAAATCAGTGGAGCCGTCAGTTTGAAGCCCTTGCAAACTACAAGAGAACGGCTTCAACCTCCCACGCATGATGGAATAACGTTGCTTCCATGAAGAGTTCCAAGGATTGGAGAAACACGAGCAGCCCACTGCACTGGGCCAAGCTAGGTGGGACGTTTCTGATCAACGTCTCGGATCCTACTGCATCCTGGCAAGTCCCAGTAACTTGGTGTGCATCAGCTAAGACTTGACTCCTACTCGTACTTGCAAGGCGATCCTATACTACACAAAAACTGCTTGATGAGGTCCCTGCCGGCACGTACTTCATGGCCGTGGTTGCCCGCGACCACCTAGGACCTCCCAGCTTCGTGCGTCGTGCGTTGTCATCGCTCAGACACCTGAGAGGCATCGCACATGAATGGCGAGTGGCCAACCCCAAGAGATGATTCCGAGTAAGCAGAAGCTTCATTCCAATCCTCCAATCCTCCGCTTGAGCAGCAGACATTACTTCCGTCCTGACCAGTATGTGGTACCATCAGCAGCACTTTGTGTTTGAGAAGTCCAAAGTCATTCATGCTAAGCGGCTAAGCCGAAGAAGAATTTCTCTTCGGTATGAGCAGTCGACCACTGTTACCTGCAAGGAGCCGTTTCTGCTGCTTACGCCCCGGGCCCCATCGTGGAAGCCTCCAGCAGTGTGCTCAGAGCGGTGTAGTGAACGCAGGGATGATCACGGATGCACAGAGCTGTTTTGAATCAGCTCTGACCACCGCAGGAGCTCGAAAGCCTAATTGATTGCAACCCACTGCAAGTCAAGGCTCCAAGCATTTGTGGCAGTGTGCACAGCAGGCCTGGATGCCAGCGCAGCCCTGTCAGTCCTGGATACGGCGCTCGCAGACGGCGATCCTTTAGCCCTGCTTGGACTTCTTGATGCGCTGCGCTCCGTGGACATTGCCGCTCTGTTTGCTTGCAAATGGATATTTTCTCTGTCTGCTTGCAAATGGATATTTTAACATGGTAAAAGGAAGGGGTGTGGCATCAGGAACGGCAATGCAGCGTGGCAATCTAGATACGAAGCAAAGGGGTCTTGACTTGGCAGCTCAGGCCAGCAACGGTGCTGAGGGCGAGGAAGTGAGGCAGAAACAATTTGAGGCAGATATGGTCAACAGAGAAGAGTAGCTGAGTAGCCAAAACGCAGGGTGAAGAGGAAGTAGGAAGTGTACAGAAGCACAGATTGATTCCAGTGACGATGAGACCGTCCCTCGTCAGGCCCTCCTAGCTGCAGCTGCCTCACTGGAGGCCGACACAAGCAGCCCCTAGGACTTGATCAGACAATTTTCTTCATACTCAAAGTTTCAAGCACAGCCGATTTTGAAGACTCAGCCTCGAGCGGAACTTGGGCTTTACGGCGACCAAGGCCTCGCCAAGTTTGGCAGCGTGGTAAGCCAGCTCCTGCGCTCCGACGGCTCCGGTGCCAAGGCCGAGGAAGCGGACTCGGCCTCCCTGGCCTTGGACAAGGTTCTGGAAGACGCTCGGCTCGGCCGTTCCTTCGTTTGGGTTCCCCAGATTACGGGTGGCTCCTTGGAGTCGGCATCTCTGGGACTTTGGACTTTTTTCTGGATGCCAGAGCTGAGGCGGCGTTGGCCGCGGCAGGCCGACTGGGTGGGCCATGGCTTTTAGGTTTCGTGCTGTGCAATCAGACAGACCTTCGGGGTCAAGGGGACAAGGTAAGCACAGACAAAAATTCTGGGGCCCTTGGGGCATGGCAGGCGTGGACGAGGTTGCTGGTAGCGCGCTTTTGGCCGGCATCGCCGCAGTTGGGGACAGCTACGCTGCAGCCCAAAGCGGGCAGAGCTTGGCTGCTTCCTGGGCCAGGGCAGCCAAGCTGGAAGTGATGGCCTCCTGGCTTTCTCTGAGTTTTACGTGCTTTCTGTTTTTTTGCTGCGATGTCTTTGCTGAGACGTCGAAGCTGGGCAGCGCGGCCTTGGAGGCCACAGCGCTGGGTCGTGGAACGCGGCTCCAGGCCCTCAGCAAAGGTCGGGGCCTGGCGACTTGGCCCCTTTTCAACTCTACATAGTCCACAAGAGCATGCAAGAGCCTTCCTACAGAGGACAGTAGCAAGGGGGAACAAGGAAATCACGGTCCAGAAGGAGGATCTCGACAGCACAAGATCTGGCGGAATGTCCAGCTCCAGCTTGCAGGCGGGCTGCGGGCTGCTCCAGTCCTTTGCTCCCTTTGTGCTTTGAGCGTTCAGCAGTTCAGCAGTTCAGAGCTTGTTGCAGATCCCTGGTGCCGTGATCAGCGGCTTCAGCGACCAGCGCAGGCGACTTGCCGAGTGCGCGACGCTTGCAATCCAGGAGACCGACTTCATCCTCAGCACCTCAACATCTGAAAAGCCAAAGTTTAGGACACTGGGGAAGGTCCTGGACCCATTGTTCTGAAGCTGAGGCAATCCATTTGCCTACTTGAACAAGAGCTGCCCGGCTGAATGGTGCCCTTTCAGTGGCCAGGCGGCCAGGGATCTGCGAGAAGTCCTCACGGTTGTCAGGTCAGGGGATCAACAAGCACGTGTGGTTCAACGCGACCGTGAAAATTGTTGAGATCAAGCAGTGCGGTGCTATTCGATTGCAGTCGGGTCTTGAGCCACCGATCTCCATGATCCTGCCACTGCTGCCCGGCAGAATCTTGACCTCCAACCCACAGGGCATGGCATCCCGACATGCTTAGGCCTGAGGCACCTATGCCTCCACCTGACGGCTCCGTTTATCAAGCGAGTTGCGCCAGACTGGATCCCCTGGAGCAGGCGGGCTGATCGGCATGCAGCTTGTGCGTCCCGGCAGTGGCTTGCCTCGCAGGTTTGGTCCACTGACGCGATGTCCTGGAGCGTCAGTGAGGCTGAGACCATCGAGTGCTTCTCATCCGCTAGCGCTGGGGCCTTCACTGCTGTCTACCTACCAGTGGCCATTTCCCAAAGTCCTGCAGCGTCGCCCAACATGGGCTTCGTGGTTGGAACTTCAATTGCCTCGGTGTGTGTGGTGGCCTTGTGCGCGGTTTTCGCGTGGCAGGCACATGCCGGGAATGTCAAGGTAAATATACCCAGCGATGCGTGCAGATGGATGTCTGAGCCATTTCAGCCAAAGAAGAGCCGAATTCGCCCAGCCCCCATCGAGATGCCTAGCGGGCCTAGCAGCATCCCAAAGTTGGCATGGCAAAAAAGCGGGCTCAGTGCCCTCAGCGGCCGCTTGAGCCCAAAGCACCTGCAGTCTGAAGAAGGGTTCTGGGAGTGGGCAAAAGAGTTGGTTGGGTCTCCAACAGGGAGAGGGAGCATACCGACGCTACCTCACAGCAGGTCCCTGAATTTTGGCTGTCTCAGCCCAGCTAGTCCAGCCAGTCCAGCCAGCGCCAGCAGTCGGCCCAGGATTACGCGGGCCAAAAGTGTCCCGAACATTACCAGCACGTTCGCAACTCGGGAGCTTCCGCAACATTCTGCAGATGCCAAAGAGCATTTTGCAGAATGGAGCAAGGACCTCCGCGAGCGTCACGAGCAGGAAGCTGAAGCCTCAAAGCTCATCATTCTCCCGCACCCGCCCCGCTCAGCACGCTCTGTGCACGCAGGCTCCAAGGCTGCGGGGCCCCATCTGCTCCCCTCTGGTCTAATGAGCCAGTCCACACCACAACTCCCCTGGCCACACTTTCCCCCCTCTTCGCCTTGCGAAGAAAAGGAGGAGTACTTCAAGAGCTTGGAGCAGGAGAGGGCAGCATACCGCAGACGCCTTCTGACAGCTACATGGTTTGTGCATGACTCCCAGCATTCCACTTTTAATCCTAGCACACTATGAAGTGTGCGCCTGCATGTAGACTGTTGAGCATGATCTCATTGTTTCGCTTGTTGCAGGAGCTGAGGGACATCGTTGGCTTGGGTGTGCCCATGCTCCCAGATTCGCCACCCTCCCATCGGGCACCCACACCGCCACCTCCACCCCCAAAGCGCAGCAACACGCTGGCACCAAAGCCTCCACCCCATCCACCTCCTAATTCTCGATTCCTCAATGCTTCACCGCCACCACAAATTGAAGACGCTGAGCATGTTGAGGTGAGGGTGGACCAGGCCTTCGTTGATTGGGCCCGCGATTTCGCGCTACCAAGCCATGCCAAGGCCAGCCCCCCGCCACCGCCACTGCCACGAGCTTGGCATCCAGGCCGGCCCCAAAGCCCGCCTGTCCCACTTCGGCAGGCTCCAGCTCCGGCAAGTGGGGACCCGCATGAACAAAATCAGTTTTCGAGCCTTCGCAGTGCGGCATGTCCGGCGGCTCACCTTAAGTTTTGCGTCATGAATTTCTGTGAATCAAAGAGCATGTGTATACCTTAAACACACATCAAACTATCAGGTAACCTCTGGGCTGCCGACAGCGTCGGCCCCGTTAATGCCTAGCTTCTTCACGGATCAGCCGCGCGCACCCCTGGTGCCACCGCCGGCAATGGAACCTTTGAGCGCGGTCTCGCAACCTGTTTGCAAAATTGAGCAACCATTATGTTCAGTCCTTGTACCCACACGTCGTCCTGACGGGGAACCCATCAAGGCAGCGAGCCCACCCAGCTTTGCATCGTGATTCGCAGCAAGACTCCCCTGGAGGCAGAGATCTAGGGTCACCATTAGCATCTCATTGAGTGCAGTTCGTGTTATTTCTTTGCAAATTCACTGGCTGAGGCGCAGATGCAGACCTCAGCGAGGGCACGACTCCTGAAGGAGGTGGCTTCCTCGGATGACATGGAATCAGATGCAGCATTGCGCAGCATGTCGGATATGTTCAGCTGTTTCACCGAGGTTGCTCACCAAGCTCCTCAGATGCATGAGTTCAGGGGCAGTCTGGAAACCAGATGTTTGGATGTTAAGAAGCCTGTTGCAGGTGATGCCTCCTCCACGCTAGAATGAGTTCCTTACCAAGTGACCATGGGAAGAGCTTCCCATAAACAAACAAATTAGATGTGCTTGCCTGGACACAGCCTCCGGCCGACAAAGCACAGCTGTTACAGTATTTCCCTGTGCCTTAGGCGCACTAGCTAGCGTTTAGAATCATTTAGGCTCAGGAAGACCTTCCTGCTCAAATGCCACGCTTAGTTGACGTGGTCCAGCAGAGCGGCTTCGCGAGAAAAATGATTTTCATGTCAGGCCACATCGGGCTGTGAAGCAGTGAAAGTAGTGAAAAGCACGCCGTGCTTTGTGATGATCGGCTCCAGCTGAAGACAAAATTGCTGAGGCACAGTTTACGTCGGGTGGGGGGTGGTTAGGAGGGGGGGGTTCAGGTTTTGTGGGGTGGGGGTTGGAGGCTTCGGTATCGGTCAATAGGTTGAACACTTTAACGCTGTTTGCGTTGACACCATTGAAGCAAAACGCACGTTGCGGGTGGAGATCAAAGAGTGCAGGAGATCGACTGGTGTTGCGCCTCCAAACCAAGTATGGCGTTGCTTGATTTCTGCTTCAGCTTGATCATACGGCACTCGCCAAAAATGTCTAAAATGCGAAGTGCAATGTGCCGGCCACAGCATTGTTTTGCCGCTGTCAACAGGGCCGCGCTCCGTGTGGCAAAGGGGCGAAAGCGTTCAGGCGTTCAGCATGCTAAAACGGCTTACAGAGGTCAGAGCCGAAGTGGGCGGCCATCAGAACAGAAGTGCGTGGCATTGTCGGGCCGGTCTAGCATGAATCGACACTGTGAGCCAGACACGCGGGCAGTGACATTCTTTGAATGTATCAAGCACGCTGGATGCTCCAAACTTGCATTGTGGCAAGGACGGTTGGGCATGAGCCGATCTGCAAGTTATGCTTCAAACCAAGAGGTTGCCCAAAGGTATCCGAAGTCCAAGACTTCCAGGGGGATGCCCAGACAGTGGGGGCCTTGCTTCCGCACAGCTGTGCGAGCAGCAGACTTTCCAAGACAGTTTTTTTCAATTGTTGAGGCAGACGAGGCATGTTGCAGATTTTTCCGCTCGAGCGGTTGGAAGTCTGATGGCCGCTGGTGTTTGTCTTGAGCCGCGCCCGACGCATGCGATTGGAGTTGCTGATAATTGTAAGCTGTGCCGTGAAGCTTCCGCAGATGTAATGAGATCCACAACTCACACCCTTCTCGGGCAGCGGTGGCACACCACAGCGCCTGCTGCCAGGGGCTCTTGCAGGCTGAGTGCTATCATCATGGTGTGCAGTGGCAGTCTGCCATCCTGCCCATCTTTGTCGTGCCTGTGAGTTCCATGTAGGCCGATGAGCTTGGGAAAGCTGTGCCGAAGCTCAGGCCCTCAGTCATCCTTTTGGGGTGCTTATCCAAGGGATGAGCAAACCGCTTGCTAAAGCGGTTTGTAGGCCACCACTTACGAAATTCCGCATGCTTTTGGACGTAGTGCCGTGCGGCGGTACCCTGATGCACCCTGTGGCACAGCACAGCTTGGCTGATCGGTCCTTATTTCGCTTTAGAAGCAGACGCAGCAGGCGTATGCGCAGGCGTGAGCTTTCGCTGAAGCAAGTTTTCCTCGCGCACGACTTCCTTGAAACTGCGTCGGAGGGGAAATCCATGTGCAACAAGTTGTTTTTCATCCAATTGGCTCATTGGTTGCTGGAAAAACTCCTGCCACTGACCGCTGCTGGTTTTCAGGACTACAACGCGCGGTCATGTTGCCAGCATGATTTTGACATTGATTGCATTGGCCCACATGCTATGGGGCGATGGACTTGCAGGCTTTCATGTCAATTCCAGAAGCTTTCTCATGGAACCTTGCCCATGTTGACATCTATCCGTGACCACATTTCCGGCTACCCCCGGGCCGGAAAGCCAGTTACTACGATACAGGAGACAAAGTGGAAGCAACATGCTCACGAGGAATTTAGCCGCAACTGGACTTGCTGTCAGTTCCAGATGATCCCGGGGCAAGCGTTTTGCAATTTCATTCAGGCATGGAGGTGTATACCCTTGGTTTTGCATCATGTTTTGTTGCTTGCTCATGCGCGCACGCATGTTCCAAAGGTGCATAATAGCTCACGGCGCGAAACAACTCATTGCGCATCATTCCTGCGAGAACCAGAACTTGGCAATCGCCTTGCTTTTTTGGTTGATGCCTGGATTGAAGCTGCCATTCGTGGTGCCAGCCGCAGCCCGAGGCCCGATAGCCTTTGCACGGCGCAATCAAAGCTTGCATGCAGTGGTTGATGAGGTTTTCACGATTACAAGAAACAAACATGCAAGCTACAGTCTTTACTGTGTACGTGGTCGTGCGCTCGCAGTACTGGGCCTTTCGGGCAACTGCCTAACTGCCATCCGCGCTTCCGCTCCAAAAAGTTGCTGCACGGCTGCTGCAAAATTTGCAGGCAGAGGGGCCTGCCCTTGGCGGCGGCCCAGCAAGCTGCGGCCTACCTTCGCGGGCAAGGTCATGGTGTACCGGACTGCGGCTCCACGCGGGTCGAGGCCCAGGCACGTGTTGAGCGGGAACTTGGGGAGCGGGTACGCCGGTGGCAACGACTTGCTGCAGCCGGCGATGAGCGATGACCGCGCGCGAGTTGCATTTTTCTCACCTTGATGCCGCATTTCATGCGCTGCTGTAGTCGCACGTTGGGCCACACGCTGCACGTGCCCCGGCAGTCTTCCCAACCTGCCCGGAGCTGGCGGTCTCCCCGCCGCAGTTCCAGGTAATTCTGTTACGACGCCTGCGATTGCCGCTGCCTGTGGCGCTATGCGCATACGCTTGTCGGGGGCGCCTCAACCCGCCAGGAGACCACCGGTCCGCGTGCGCAAGCGCGGGTGTGCTCTGCCGCGGCAGGAGGCGTAGCAAGGTTGCTGCTTCCTGCCCGGAACGGCCACGTCGAGGTGGCAATGGCGTGCTCGCATGGGGTCAGGGTAGGTGTCTCGACGCTTGCGCCGGGTTGCGTTGTCGGTCGCCCAGCTCGGCTGGACGTTGGCTCAGGGGCATCGAGGGCAAGTGGTGAGCCATGCCACAACGGAAGGCCGTTCGCCGACTCGCGCCTTGCGGGCAATGCAAGCGCCGGCCTTTCAGCAAACCTGTGCAATGGCCCGCTCCATTGGCAGCGCGCGGGGGCGTGGCGCCTGGGAGCAGCATCCGCAGGCGTCGGAGGCTGCACATGGTCGCCCGGCTCATCGCCGATGGTTTGAGCCCGCGGCGCGACGTTAGGGAGAGCAGAGGCCCAATGTACTGCATGCCTGTCGGCTGCAGCGCTCCGTCCCCCAGACCGAACACGCCATACCGAAGAGCAAGCTGGGCCGCTTGGAGTTTATGCGCCGGGAAGGGCGTGTCACCAACTTCGGAGGCTGGCGGGGCAGTGGGCGACAGCTGCATCGTGGTCAGCGGCATAGGCATCAGTACGTGCGGCGGCACCACACGCAGGAGGCAGTTGGCGCGACGCGCCGCGCAAAATTGCAACAAGAGCCATGCTGATTGCAGGTTGCTGAGAAGCGAACGGTCCTGGGACCCGCGCTTGGCTGCAAGCTGGTGAGACATGAAGCGTCACCGACCCTTCAAGCGTCTCATACGAGATTGTTTTAAACCACGCGTCCTAGATCTTCAAGTGTAACCGTTTTCCGGTCCACTTTTGAAGATGGGCTTGGTTCCGAACACACCCGCTTGCTTCCGCTCATGTGACACCGGGTCAGACCATAAGACATTTCAGAAAACACATCAGTCCAACCGACCGCTGACGGCAGCACGGCAACTACGGCATCGGTGCACCCACGGTCTTGCATTGCAAACTAATAATGGAATGCGGCTTCATCGAACACAGAAGCACATTGCTGTACAAGCACGCTAGGCATGAGGCGCCGGAAGATGTTCTTTGTTGCAATGCTGTGGACGTTGCCGGGTTTAGGAAGGTCCCCACTATGTGATAAGTTGTAACATGGACCCAATAGTTTTGTTCCTTTTCTGTAGTTGTGGGATGGGGCTTCCTTTGCTGCTGCATGGAATTTGTGTCCTTGACGCTTGGAGGTGTGCAAGTCCAGGCCGCACTGGACAGCGCCCGTGGCTTGCTGGTGCTTTTTGAAGCCGACGTCCAAAGGGCAGGGGGCACCTACCAGCCGAGGGAGCGCAGTGCTCCTCGCCGCAACTCTCGCTCCCGCTCCCGCACTTGCTCCAGTTCCTCTGGCGAGTGGCGCCGCTCCCCGTCGCCACTGCCCAGGCGGCCTCCCACACCACCACCTCCTCCACCGCGGCGCGCCCAGCCGGCAGCACGCGGGGGGGAAGTGTCTGTGCCGGAGCCCGCTGCCCGTCGGTTCCACCGCGGGACTCGCGCCGGCGACCGCGTCAAAACCCGACGCAATCGTGCAGCCGAACGCGCCAACCCCTTTACGGCAGCGTCGGCCAGTACCAGCCCTTTCAGCACCGGTGGCCACGGCGCAGGCACAGGCCTTTTTGGGAGCACCCCGGGTCCAACTCCGTTCCGGGACGCCTGCTGTCACCGCGCGGCGCCAGTACAGGCGGGGCGCAGTATTCTTGCCGATCGTACCGTCCAGCCACTCACTGGCCAGGTGTCGTCGTCACCGTTCTTCTTGCAGCCAGTCCCCCAGACCTTGCCTCCTTGGCTGCCGTCCTGGCGCCGTCGGGCAAACAACTAAGGGCCGGCTCGGGCTGACCGGGCCACACGCTTCATTGGCCCAAACCTCAGTTACACTGGGGCTCCTGCAACTTGTTGACCGCGGCGCCTCACTTCGGCTTGGCCGCAGGTCGCGCCTAAGCACCACGCATTTTTTGGTCTGACCAGGCAACCTCAAGGCGCCACCCAGTGGGCTGCCCTAGGCGCCGGGTCGTGTAGTTTTACACAGCTACACGTGTAAACGTGCACTTGCAGGTGCCGAGCGATTCGTGGGATTTGCACCGGGCTCGCAATTAGCGCGAGGTTTGTAGTAAAGCATAAGCACCACAACTGCCGCCCAGGTCTTGGCC